CCCTAGGCAAAATCGTCGTTCTGGACACGCCGGTGCAGTTCGTTTTATCATCCGGGGTCGGTTGGACGATGTCGTCGACAATCGGGTCAAAAACGTGTCAAAATTCAAATTTTACGAAGTTTTGACTCTCGATCGATCGTTTCAAAAAGTTTATTCGAGTCTTCGATTGGTAACAGTGCAAGCGATGCGAATTGTAGCGATCGAACGCGTCGATTATCCGAATTGCAAAGTTTGTGCGCGCGAGAGTGCGAATTGTGCAGAAGGCCACCCTAAGGCTCAAAAGTTTCTATAGGAATTTATTTTGGGTTTCCTCATGTTGGTTTCATTCTTCTAAGTGTTAGAAGTCGATACCGCACACATTGATACCACACACGTGAAACCACAAAAGAGTACAGAAGGGGGTTGAATTTGTTGAATTTCTAAAACGGGCGGGTTCCATTTCTAAGGTTCTAAGATAGTCAAAGGGAGATCTCTAAGGCTAGATCCTAAACCCTAAGAGGAAGACTAGACCTCACCAAAAATGAGGTCAACACACTCGTGGCTGAGGCATAACATCTTTTGTACTAGGTGTATCATGAGGGGGAAGGTGTGCAACCTCATTATCGACGGAAGGAGCTGTGAGAATGTGTTCTTTATTTTTATAGTGAAAAAGTTGGACTTGGCTACGCAGAAGCATTCTCAACCCTATTCTCTGATCTAGTTGAAGAAGGGTAATACGATATGAGTGGATCAGTAGCACTTGGTAGATTTTTTCACTAGAGACCAATTATAGAATCAGATGTGGTGGGATGTGGTGCCCATGAATGACTGTCATATCATGTTGGGATGATCGTGGCAGTTGGATCGCAAGACCAAACATGATGTCTTAGGGGAAACACATCATTCTCTTGCCTATCAATCATTCTAGAGGAGCAAATATGCATGTAATAAAGAAGCATGTGGTTCCCTCCGCCGCCTTTCCACAGTTGGTACGTGAATTCCCAATTGCAATGGCCTTACTCGTCCTGGAGGGAAATGAGTAGGAGGCTGAGCCACCAGAGGTGATCCATCGAGTGCTAGCCGATTTGTAGGATGTGATGACCGAAAATCTACTAGAGGTCCTACCACCACATAAGGATATTTAACATGCCATAGATATTTTTTCCTAGATTAGTGCTGCCAACTAGGCCTGCTTACAGATTGAGAGCAACTGAGTATGAGTAACATTAATAGGTGCATGATCTCATTGCGAGGGGTTTAGTGAGAGGGAGAGAGAGTACCTGTCCGTGTGCTGTTCCTGCTTTGATGGTGCCTAAGAAAGATGCTCTAGACGAATATGCATTACATAGACGAGTTATAAGCAAGATCACCATCAAGCACAGGTTCCTTATATCTCTCCTGGATGATCTTCTGGATCAGTTTCATGAAGCCGCTATCTTTTTCAAGATTGACTTGCTCAATGTATATCATCATATCAGAATGAGGCCAGGGAATGAATGGAAGACTGCCTTCAAGACCGAGATGGATTGTACTAGTGGACCGTCATGCCATTTGGATTGTCCAATGCACCTAACATCTTCATGAGGCTGATGAATCATGTGTTTCAAACTTACATTGAAAAGTTCTTAGTTGTCTACTTCGACGATATCCTTATCTACAACAGTTTTTAGGAGGAGCACTTGCAGCATATAAAGTTTTTTTTTGGGGTTCTACGGTCGGAGGAGCTATATGCCCACTTGAAGAAGTGTTGCTCAAGACGGCCAAAGTCTACTTTTTGGTGGTACATTGTGTTCAGTGCCGGTATTTTGATGGACCCTACGAATATTGAAATTTTTGTGAGTTGGACGCCCTGAGGTAGTTTGTGGTGTTATCTTTTTACAGGAGATTCATCAGGAGCTTCAGTACTATTATAACATCTTTGACAAAATTTTTGAAAGGAGAGAAGCTTCAGTAAACAGAGGTAGCTCAGTCCAACTTTGACACTCTGAAGGTGATGCAGGCCTCTGTGTTGGCTTTGCCAGATTTCAACGCATTTTTCTAGGTGGAATGTGATGCTTTTAATGTATTAATATATCAATACTGAGGCAGGGAGGACATCTCATAGCTTTCTTTGATGAGAAATTGAAAGAGTTTAGGAGAAAGGATTCAACATACAATAAAGTTCTACGTGATGGTGCGTGCTCTTAATCATAAGAGTGAGTACCCACTGATGATTGAGTTCACTCTATTCACAGGTCACAAAGCTTTGAGGTATTTGAATTGTCAAAGCAAGTTGAAGGGCAAGCATGCTTTTTTGGGTTGAGTTGTTGGCGTCATTCCAGTTCATGTTCAAGCACAAATAAGAAGTTAGAATCGAGTAGCAAATGGCTTAAGTCGCCGCTACTTGCTAATTATCTCCATGTAGGCTAGAGTTGTGGGATTCGAGGTAGTGAAGGATTTGTACAAGGCAGATGAGGATTTCAAAGAAATATGAGAATAGGGTTAGGAAAGCCCTATAGGACCGTACCATAGGGTTGATGGTTATCCGTTACACCAAAACAAGTTGTGTATTCCCAGATGTTCACTAAGGGAGTCCATCATCCTGGAGAGTCACAATGAAGGGTTAACATGTCATTTTAACAGAGAGATAAGACCTACACCTGGCCTCAACTAATGAGAGATGTGGAATGGTACGTCAGATGGTGCATAATTTATTACCTAGCCAAGATAAGATTGCAAAATAAAGAGATGTACACACGATTACCAGTACCGGAGGTTCCTTCGGTGGATGTTAGCATAGATTTTGTGGTAGGTCTTCTGAAGATGCATCGAAACAAGGATTTAGTGATTGTTGTGGTTGACAGATTCTCGAAGATGACTCATTTTGTGCCTTGCCAACGGACACTAGATGCATCACATTTAGCTAACTTATACTTCAAGGTAGTGATGTTGCATGGGAACACTAAGACCATTATCTTTGATACGAATGTGAAGTTTTTGAGCCACTTCTAAAGGACCCCATGGGGGAAGCTTGGTACTAGGATTTAATTCAGCTTAGCAACGCATCCACGAACAGATAGTCGGACGAAAGTGGTGAATAAGAAACATCAAGCAGTGAGATCTGATTCAAGTCCATGTTGAATTTTCTTACAAGTTCTGTGAGTCCAACTACGGGGCGCACTCCCTTTGAGGTTGTGTATGGGCACAATTCGTTTACTCCACTTAAGTTAGTACGCCTTCTTCCTATGTTGGAGGTTAGAGTGGCTGCTGAGGCGGGGATATAGGAGATTCAGAGGTAACACAAAGAGGTTGGGGGGAGAGATCACCAAGTAGAACCGTAAGTACCGGGCACATGCCAATACAATATAGAAGAATGTTACTTTTCAAGAAGGAGATCTAGTATGGATCCGACTGAAGAAAGAGAGATCTTCTATGGGATCATTTGTGAAAGTCAAACCCAAAGTAGATAGACCTTTATGGATTCCAAAAAGGTTGAATGAACATATCTACAAGATTGACTTACTGAGGTATTATAACATTTCTACAATCTTCAACTTGGTGGACTTGACTTCATGCTACAATGAAATAGAAGCTTCGACGGATCAAAGTAAAGCTCCCCAACCCAAGGAATTGACATGAGGACATCTCCTGCACAATGTGCCGGATGATAAAGCCATAGGCTGCTTTGACCAATTCAATCCTGCATGAATCGGCTCAACACAAGGGAGGATGGGACTAGTCGATCCTTTCCTTTCTTGGGAATTAACGTTAATTGAGGGGACTCCACCCTTAGCTACCCTAGTAGTATTTATACTTTGTTTATGTGTTTTAGGGCAGTTTTTCTTCATCTTTTTTGTCAGGACAGGCGTCGGCATCCATATTTTCCCTTCTAAGTATGTATATGATGACGGGTGGTGCTTCGGCTATATCTCATCCAAGGCGGTGATTATCTTCGACCTTCCCATTTTCTCCGCAATCTTCCCTCAGCTGTCGCTATCACAGAACTTGCTGCAGCCACCCAAAAATAGCGACCTCACTGATTTCTTGCAGCTGCCTACCACCCAACCTCTTCCCATCTTGTTGTCTTTTGTAGGCTTTCCACCAACCTTCCCACTTTCTACGCAACCTTCTCTCTGTTGCTGCCATCACTGTACTCACTGCAGCCACCTAGAAACACCCATCTTGTTGATTTCCTGCAGCCTCCTACCGCCCAGCCTCCTCCCATCTTACTTTCTTTCGCAATCTTGCCACCAGCCTTCCCCTTGCTACAGTCCATCCGTCAACCATCTCCCTTCCTTGTTGCAGTCTAGCCACCAACCATCTTCCCTTCCCTTTTGTATCCCTACCGCCAGCCTTCTCCTCCCTTGTCGTTGTTTAGTTGCCAGCCATCCCCTTGCTGCAACCCCGCCGCCAGCCACCTCCCTCTCTTACTTGCCCCTAACTTATTGCCGCCTCCCCATTACAGCCATCCTATATCCCCAACCGCAACCACCCTACCACAACCTTCCCACCACCCTCGATCTAAGCCCTAATTTGGCGTTTATGTTATCTTTTGTTATTTCCTATTTCTGTGTGTGTTTGTTGTAACCCCCGCTTTGATTTCAGTAATAAAAGTTGAATATTCATTGTTGCTTGGTTAACACCAGTATCATCATTGATGCTAGAAAAAAATGGCACACACTTGTTATTAGTTGTTCCTATGCTTAAATATTTGTTAGAGGTGTTTCTAATTGATTAAGCTATGTGACGCACTTGGTAAAAAATTATGGAGCTAGCTTTGCAAACTAAGTTAGCATTAATATGATATTGAATCATTAGCATTACCTTCAGACTTTTGGTAAGCACTCCTTCCATAATCCTTCATGCTGACCATATGTGTGCGGGTAGCAAACAAGCTTTACTGTTAAAAATAAAAAGATTTTGTTATTTTCCTCTTATTAAAAGAATCGTATTAGCATCTATTTTTGTGAGCTCATGTAAGATTGAAAATGTCATTTGAAATTTACATGAATAACTTTGTTGATATATGCCCATTTGACTAGGTCCTTCTGTTAAATGGTTCACATGACCGTGAAACCACTGGCTTATCAGCATCTGACTTTGTAACTGCAATTACTGATGCCCTTAATCGCACATATGGAGAGCCCTACAAATGCCTTCAGAACTATGTAAGTGCACGGGTGATTATGATCCGTTAAACATGTTATTGAGTTTTTATTGTTTTCAGTTCTCGTACTTCTTGTTGACAAAATGTTGTAACTGTTAATCTAAAATTAAATAAAACCAAATTCGAAACCATTGAAATGGGTAATTAACTGTTTATAAGATAGAGTTTAAATTAGAATCATATTGAGGGCAATAATACCTTGCATCTATTAAAGGTACATTCTCATTCGTGATCCAATTTGAGTTTGATTCGTAACCTTTTCTAAAATTCATGCTCTAGCAAACTTCCTGATTTTTATTTAAATGGATACTTTTATCAGTTTTTCCTGTTGTGGTGCGCCAACTAACACGTCATACTATAACTAGCTCTTTTCCTTTTTATGATTGATAATTTGAGGTTTTTACTCCTGGTTTTCTACTGTAAACTTGCTTAGTTTGCTTTTATTCCGTTAATGTAGATGCTTGATCTAAGTTTATTGATATCAAACATCATTCAAGCTTTTCTTGTACTTTTCTTAAAGCCATGATTTATATTTCGCTGTGGCACTAGTCATGGAGTCACCTAAAAATATTCAGAATCCAATAAGTTAGCGCAGTCTTTCTTGTCATTATAATTAGGCGACTTTGCCCAAGATTACTGCTGACCCAACCCATAATATGCAATATATTGTCTGTTTTGGCTTTTGCCCATCTCATGATGTGTAAACTTATGCTGTTAACTTCTTTGGTGCAACTTTCCATGGAGTCATTCATATCATGTGTTCTCCATCACAAGCACGATTAACTATGGAGTTCCTAATAAAGTTCTCATTAATACAACACATGGCTAGTATATTTGTAATTAAATGTTAATACAGCCCAGAAACATTTCACCCCCTTTCATTTGGGATTTAGTTTTTTTTTGCGTCCATCTTCCAGAAGCTTGCCAAGGGCAACTTGTTGTTCAGGCCTCTAGCCAGGCAATACTCCCTACCCTATTTGGATCATCAACTTCAAATTTGGGATGTAACAAGTCCGTCAACATTTGCCTTTTTTTGTGTCAAAGTACACATAGTAATTGTAACCACCTAATACACCTTATGTGAGGTTTTATTTGTTTTTACCCAATATTAAGTTTTGCCTCATATTTTATCGTTCTTTATGCAACTTTCTAAGTGTCTAGGAGTCTCTTATGATTCACCATAGAAATTGTGACAAAACAAATAGTTTATTCTCCAAAGAAAATAATATAACTGCGAACACATAAAATAATGGATAAGCACCTACAATTCAAGAGGTAGCTGATCTCTCACAATCTCTACAATTTGAGAGGTAGGAAATCTCTTTCGAACCTTAAACCTATCAATCAGGAGTAAATGAAATCAGACAGAATGAAGTTTCCTTCTTTGCAATATTGCAAAGAAAAAAATATTATATTTTCACGAATTCCTTCATTTTAGCTGAATATTTAAATTAGAAAAATATATTATTAAGCTACCAAAATTAGATTGAACACTTTATTATGTACTTAAAATAGATTGTAAAAACTATTGTTTATTGGAATGAAAGCAAAGTAAAAGACATTCAGCCTATTTGCTCAAAATCGTCCGCTCGTCCTGCGAAACTCTCCAATAAGTATTCGACGATCACTCGATCTCTTCGTCCGCTTTAACTGCCTCAACCACATATGTTCTCGTCCGTTTTGCCTTCTTCGTCCGCTAGGTAGCATCGGCGGTAGCATCGACTGTATCTTTGGCTTCAGTATAGTTGGCGTATTTCAGTGCCGATATAATTTCTAGATCTTCGCACTCAAGGATCTTATGCTTCGGCTTTGGCTTCAGACTCTCTCCTAATTTAAGGCAGTGCACGATTATTTGAATCTTTTAGGATGTCTTTTGAAATCTTCGTTATCAGATTTACGGAAAAGAATTATGCCGCATGAGAATGTTAGCTCAGAGTGTTCTTAAAAGGAAAAGAGCTTTGGGGCCATATTGATGGGTCTCTCCAGCTCCTATAGATGCAAAAGATCTTTGTCAATAGGTAGCAAATGATGCTTAGATAGTTTTCTGGATCTTGGGATCTATTGAGGCTCTTATGGTGAACAATCTACGATCTTTTGGTACGACTAAAGAAATGTGGGAATATTTGAAGCGCGTTTACAATCAAGATAATACTGCGAAATGCTTTCAATTGGAATTTGATGAGTAATTTCAGTCAGAGTAATTTTTTAATTGAACAATATTATTCTGGTTTTCTAAATTTATGGAGCGAATATACTAGCATTATCTATGCTAAAGTGTCAGAGGAGAACTTAGTTAGTCTACAAGCTATTCATGAAGAAATTCACCGTGATCAGTTTTTAATGAAGCTCAGACTGTAATTTGAAACTGCTCGGGCTGGGTTGCTGAACCGAGATCCAGTTCCTTGTTTGTATATCTGTTTTGGTACGCGAAGAACAAATATTGGCAACACAAGCTGCTATTAGTATAATAGGTGGATCATAAAAAATAATTAATATGGCATATGCTGCTCAGACCAAAGGGAAGGACCAGTGCGGTGCTACAGCTGCAAGAAATTTGGTCATATTGCATGAAAATTGCATAATAAGTGTTGTACTTATTGCAAACAAAATGAACATATTATTACGGAGTGCCCTACACGCCCCAAAAACGACCCAAAACTACAAACCACAAGCTCTTCATGCCACGGTATCCGACACTCACAAACCTGCCTCGACATCCACAGTTGCTGACAATAATCAATCAGTTGTCATACCATATATGGTTCAACAGATGATTCTCTCTGCTTTTTTTCGCTCTTGGCCTTCAAGGTAAAGGTAAAACTATTATTTTTGTTCCTTCACATTGGTTTGTTGATACAGACGCCACAAATTATATAACTGGCACAGCTGATTTATTGCATAACCATCGGTCTTACATTGGTACTCAACATATTCAGGTTGCTGACGGAAATAATATTTCAATTATGGCAGTTAATGATATTAACTCCTTTTTCAGACATATCTTGGTTTCTCCTAAACTATCTACTAACTTACTCTTTGTTGATCAAATTGTGGATAATAATTGTGACGTACATTTTTCTTGTGATGGTTGTATTGTGCAGAATCAGGTGTCGGGGAAGGTAATGGAGAATGAGCTTAGAGCGGGCAGGCTGTTTCCATTAAATTTATTATTCCTCGGAATATGTCATTAGCTTCTTCAGTTGTTGAGAATAAGACGGACATCTGACATAAAATATTAGATCATTCAAATAATATGATGTTGAAGCATTTACTTAAAAGGGGTGTTTTTTATTTTACAAATAAGAGTTTAGTAGTTGACTTTTCTGTTTGTAAATATGGAAAGAATAAGACATTACCTTTTCTTATTTTAGGCAATCGTGCCAATAAATGTTTTGACATTATTCATAGTGATGTTTGAGGAATTACACCAGTTATTTCACATGCTCAATATGGATATTTCGAAACATTTATTGATGATTACAGTCGATTTACTTGGATCTATTTTTTGCGTTTCAAAGCAGAAGTATTTACTGTATTTCAAACCTTTTTAGCATATATTGAAACTCTATTCTCCGCTTGCATTAAAACCTTACAGTTTGACAATGACGGTGAATACATGTCTCACGAGTTTCAAACATTTCTCCATAAGAAATATATTGTTTCACAACGTTTATGTCTCTATACACCGCATCAAAATGGAGTTGTTGAACGGAAAAATCAACATCTATTAGATATAGTGAGCACATTACTGATAGAATCTTCTGCTCCGGCTAATTTTGGACTGAAGCTTTATCTACTACAGTTTATTTCAGTAATCGCTTTCCATCTCAACAATTGAAGTATGATTCTCCTTACTATCGATTTTTTGGGAAAAATCCTAATTATCATGTGCTACATATTTTCGAATGTGTTTGTTTTGTTCATCTACCTGCTCATGAACGTCATAAGTTGGCAGCTTAGTCTGTACGATGTGGCTTTATGGGGTACAGTCTTAATTATAAAGGTTTTGTGTGTTATGATTCGATTAATAGTCGATGACATATTTCTGAGAATTTGATTTTCTTCGAACATGAATATTACTTTCAGCATCATGTGTTAACACCGGATACAGTTATACTTCCACAAATTGATAACTCTTCTTCTGATAAACTGTTCAAGCCAGACATTTTCTACACACGACGCCTGCTCCTTTCACCTTCAAACCCCCCGGACCTTGATCCAGAAATTGCACCAATTAGTTTTCGACGATGAACTCGGCGTATCTGTCCTCCAGATAAATATGGGTATTCTGTAATTTTAACTAATATTACTGTTCATACCTCTTACTTTCAGGATGCTAACCAGATTTGCTGGATCAAAGCTATGCAAGAGGAACTTCAGACACTTCAAGACAATCACACTTGGGATATTGTTTCATGTTCTACTGGTGTTAAACCCATTGGTTGTAAATGAGTTTATTCTTTTAAACTTCGATCTGATGGCTCTCTTGACAGATATAAGACAAGATTGGTAGCTCTTGGCATTCGATAGGAATATGGGATTGATTATGAAGAAACATTTGCACATGTGGCTAAGATAACAACTGCCCAGCTGGTGTTATCTATTGCTGCATCTAAAGACTAGTTCCTAAAGCAGATGTCTATGTGAGTCCTCTTATAGGCTTGTTTTTTACATCTTAACATGTTTGTACGCTCAAACGGTCTCTATACGGTTTAAAACATACTCCACGGGTCTGGTTTGAAAAGTTTCGCAATACTCTTCTTAGCTTCTCTTTCATTCAAAGTAAGTATGATTCATCATTATTTCTTTGCAAGATTGACAAGGGAACTGTTTTGTTTTTAGTCTATGTTGATATTGTCATTACAAAATCTGACAATCAATTGATATCTCAGCTACAAAAGTGTCTTCAGGGTTCTTTTCATATGAAGGATTTGGAGTCATTAACTTATTTCTTAGGAGTTGAGGTTCACTCTTCTCTCACTGGTATTTTCGTTCATCAGC